GTTTCTGTCTAAGAAGCAATGCTCCTCTCTTTCCTATTGAACAGTTAAGCTGTAGGGGAACAAGTGGGGGTGAGGGGGCTAAGACAATGACAGACATGAAAAGAAGGGGAAAGAGAAAAACTGAGAGGAAGACTTTCATTCAATCAAGAGCAAGGATACTTAACATCTTGGCCTTCAACCATTATACAGCATACTTTCAAAAGGCAGAGCAGGTCTGAGGCCCAGACTAACAAAAGGAGCTATTGATTCTAGCTGGCCCTTAAAGACCATCTTGAAGACAATGCATTGTTCCCTTTTAAGTGTTAAATAGATCTGCTTATATTGTTAGAAGTACTTTAAATTTTGAGATAGAGATCAAGATAGCATTGTTAGCAGATGCCTATTGTGTTGAAGACAACCATAAAAGCAAATCAAGTCTTGGCCCTTGTTTTAATAAAGATAAGAGGCTAACAGCTAAACTGCATTTTCTGAGCAGGTAAATATTTTCTCCTTAAAAGACCAATGAAAACATCTGTCTCCTACTCTTGTAAGCCCAGAAAACTATCTCACATAACAAGAGTTGAGAAGATAAAGATGAAGTGATTTTTTTTTTTCTCACTTAGTTGCCCTTTGTGTGTTTTTAAGTTCATTACACAAATGAGAACTGCTACTTTCTGACTACCCATTCTCCACCAGACATGAACACTGAGTTGGAACAAAGTGCAATGCAGAAGTTACTCTGAAAAATAAATAATTATGTCTTTTTGACAGTTGTCTGAGGAAGTCAATAAAACACTTCAGCTTCTGGTGAGGTTCTTCCACTGATGTTATCCATAAATTACTAGCCTGCACATGACCCTCATGCTCCTGGGTCTCAGTACTCTCTGATTTCCCATTTTCCCTTTGGGATTATAAAGCTATAGGTGATAGCTATTTACAGAGAAGGTCAGGCCAGCCTAGGAGAAACAGACTGAACCAGCCTTTTTACCATTTCCAGAACCAATTAACTTTTCAGAAGGTTTGAATATTTACACTTAAAATTTTCTTTTGACTATTCAAATGCGGTGAAAGGTGGGGGTTTTGGCAGTCAAAGGGAGTGGGCTATTCTCAGTGTAAATGTTAACACAGACCACTATATTTTTTTGGTGTCATCACTTTGTAGTTTAATGTCATGCTGATACTCTCCTAAAAGCATGGCACAATTACAAAGATTAGGAGCTTATTGAATTTATTTTCTCCTTTTCCCGTACAAGAAGGGAGAGGGGGATCCTGGCAATTCCCAGTTATGGGAGAGAGGGATATAAACTAGGGGAACACTAGTGAAAACAGTAAAGTAAAAGGACTAAACTGGCCATCCTTTTTATTTCATGTATAATCATACACACTGCAGGGAGGGAATAAGACCTACTCTTCTGAAGAGAACAGTCTATAACAACATGTGGGTAGTGGAATGGCTTACTCTAATCCACCTAGAGGATGACTGAAAAGTAAAAATGAAAACTACCCCCAATAATGGAAATTGTGGATGCGTGAAGGGAGTGTAGTGCATAGGGGAAATCTCCCAAGACCTTTGACTTTGAAAAGACATTTTGCTTTAGTGAGTAAATTGATAGAAAAGAAACTAATGAAACTCAGTAAACAGCCTAGGATTAATCAATGACCATCATGCTTGTGTTACAAAGACAAAATCATTAGCTTCACCTTGATTCATAACTTTGATGGGTGAGGACAGAAATTACAACATTGCACTCAACACCTAACAAGAAACACAAGGCTTCCAGTTCTGTAGTCCCACCCTTTTCCATGACCTTTGCAAGCTATCGTCAGATCTTATGCATGAGGTGCTAGGTGCGCTTGACTTCTGACGGAGCAGCTCTACCAGAGAGTAAACACATCTCTGACCCACAAGCGTGAGGGTGTCAAAACCCATAGAAAAGGAGCACGAAAAGCCTTCTGTGAGCAGTTGTCCAGTGATGACATTGTTTCATTACACCATGAACTGCAAGGTCTCATGCTTATGCAAAACAATCATCAGGCAGTGGTGGTGAAATGCAATACCACTGACACACTGACATATTGCACCTCTCTATAGCATTACACATCTGCTCATGTACTCAGTGAGTTGTATGTGACAACACCCAACCCTGCTCTAATTGGAAGTACAGAGCAATGAAACAGCAGTGGACTTCTATCTCCAGCATCCTCCCTCTTACAGGTAGTAACCTCCCTGAAGTGCAGCATGTCGTTTTGGACTTTTTAGAATAATTTTTTTATAAACTACTATTGGTTGGCTGCTTAACTGTGTGTAGGGGAGAAAGCTGACCTTTGAGCTGATGAGCCCCTGAAGGTAATGGCAAAGGTGTTGAATTTTTGAGAAGGAAGACTTTACAGACTCTTCTTCAGAAAAACAAGCTGACAGAAGGGCGTCCTGCATCTCACAGTGCTAAACAAAAGAAGACTTGCAATCTGCTGCACATGCTACAAACAGAGCAGCAGATTTGAATGATTAAATTGTAACAGCTGGCAGATGGTATGGTTTACACTTTCCTGCAAACACACTGCCTTGGTTCATCTCCGTGCCTTAGATGCTCATTTGAGTTTTTTACCGGGATTACTGCTATATTCTGGGAGCAAAAGATGTGCCTCCAAAGAGCAAATCCTTCCTGTTTATATATCTATCTAAGGGAAAGAGGATAGATTTAGCCCAGATACAAATTTAGATTTCCAAAGTTATGTGAGGGGACTCAAGTGGGAGTTTGATGTTCCCTACATACAAATCAAAAATTATGTGAAATGTGTAAGTTACTGAGGTGTGGCATGATTGCTTTCAAATTATGTTTGATAAACAAGGAATATGTACTAAATTAAATAGTTACATGCCATCAAAATTAATCTAGATCCACTAAAAATTCCCCTGAAACCATAGTTCCTCTTTTGTTAACAATTTTCATTGATAAAGGTATATCCTTATCCATTCAGGATGTCTCCACAGTGCAGCTACAACCTGTCAGATCATGTAGTTGCATAATGGGTTCAGACAACATTTATCAAAAAATCAAACACAATCCAGCTACAGTTTATCTTCACAGCCAGCTATTAAAGTTCTTTGAAATACTGTTTCAGGCTTCACAATGATAGCAACTAGAGATGGAAATAACGTATTTCATTAGGGAGTGTTTAACAACTTCCCAAATGTAGTCTATTCAGGATTTTTTACCCAACTGCACAAAAGGCAGCTGATTCATCCTGAGGATCTCGTGTTGCAAGCTGTGAAAGCATCAAGTTGTGCACAGACACCTTAGCTACGGTAATTATAGCCCACACAGCCATTAGCATGGGAGAAATTAATCTGCATCCACAACTGACTGCCACAGAATCTCAAAAAATGACAGAAGTGAAGTTAAAGTATTGATGAATAGTATGCTCAGTCTCCCTTTATGCTCAATAGGTTACAGCCAAGCAGATTGCACTTTTAATGTATCATTATTTAGACTAGCATGTGCTATTTCACCGTGATGTTTTTACTACACATACTGTCCATGCCATCTAAATCCAATCTTAGATTGATGAAGTCAGCGATCATTTCTTTTCCCCATGAATAAATTAATTCCCGTTGTACTGTAAATAATATTATCATAGACATGTATTACCAAGACCACTTGTACTGTAACTAATGTTGTCATAGACTAATATGATGAAGACTACTTCAAGGACTGCATAAAATTAATATAATGAATGAATATGTATGAAGTTCTTTCATTTAAAAAAAATCAAGTCATTGTCCAGGGACTTGTTTAATCATTTGGCCTCATACTTGCCTAATTCTTCTCAGAACAGGGATCTATGCTGGAAAAAATGTTCAAAACCTAAAAGTGCCCAGATCCAAACCACCTCATTCCCTAGGTCAAAATTATTTCCACGCAGTCATGTTGGAGTCAAAATAAACCCTAGGGAACAATCATGAAGAAAATGCTGGCAAGCCCTCAGCAGTAACACCCGAGTAAGAGAAAAGAGATGAGGCAACTTCTACAGATGGGTGTGCTCTTTTATTGTGAAAGCAACTGGTGATTTACAGTGCCAATGCCTCCCACAGACAGCTTGGACACATGTCAACTACAGAGGTGCATACTGCCTAAGGTAATGTGCAGTCCTGAGTTAGCTGAGATGATGAACTAGTAGAATTCTCTAACTAGCAAAAATGTAACTTGCAAAATTCCCTTTTAATAACCGTTTCAAGAAACTGTAATTATCTACAAGATTTGTTGAAGTGTCTCAGCACAAAACAGAATTGACAGCAACTAATCTCTAAAAGGTGATGTTTTGAAGTTTGGTTCCAGATAAATGCATAGAAATCAGCAGGAAATGTATAAAATGTTCAAGCATGTATATGTGTGTTCAGAAATATATGTAAACATTTACACATACATATGACCAATGAACATCTGTCTGATTCAGATGAATGAAATCAGCTGTCTGAATGTACACGAAAACATGAAAACTCTCACAGATCCCTACTGCAAAATAAAAGTCTACAATTGTAAAACATGCATTTAAAAAACAAGTTCTCCCAGATAAATAAAATGTATCCTTTAGAAAGACTTACTAATACTGAAAGTTTTCATTATGTTGTACTTTTTATCAAATTTCTTTCGGTGTGTCTTACTAAAAAGGCAATTTTAATAAAAGAAATCTTCGTTTATGCTTCCAAGCTTTTATAAAAGATAAAACCACAAAACTTTATTAGAGCCAGCACTGTTGAGAAATCAGTTTGAATATTAGCCAAGTTGCTTGGAATCCTTAACTTCCAAGTTAACTTCTACTAAACTACTGGCAAGAAGCAGTGCCTGTTTTCCTCCAAAGTTAGAACTGAGCTTTCATCCATCCTGAGCACAGAAATTACTGTCCGACTGCTTTGCTGTAACATTCAGCAGTAAACTGAACGGTGCAAGCTGTTAAACACTATTACAACCACAAACACAACAGCGTTCAGCGTGTACAACAAACTTGAAGCAGATACTTACAGGTAGCAGTGTTTCTCCAGGAGGCTGATCATACTAGAATAAAAGGAATAATGAATGTCACTGACCCAGTAATCTCTGGTTTAAAAGACTGGCAGAGAAAGAAATCCAATGGGTGGGTGACAGAGAGAAAGACAGAGGCGGAGGGGGGGGGGGGGGGGGGGAGGGGGGGGGTGGCGGGCGGCGAGAGAGAGAGAGAAAGAGAGAGAGAGAGAGATGAAATTCCAGTCTTTCTGGTCAGCTTGGCTGTAGTTTTCTCCGTACCAAAAATCCACAATAAACACTCTTTTCTTGCAAGACTGCTCCTCACCGCAGAGTCCCACTGTACAAAGACTTTCAGGCTCACTGTGATAAGGGCATTCTGAGATGCCTTGGAGTGTTTACACTCAGAAATGCTTCTCTGGCAGCCAGCCCCAGATCGTCCTTTCCCCTTCTGCTAGTTAAATCTGTTGGGACTAAAATCTGAGCTCCTATTAATAAGGTTTGCTCATTTTTTGTCCCCACTTCTGCTAGTTTACTTCCTTCAACACACGCTCGCTCATTTATGTATTAAAGATTCATAGACAAAGTGGTGACTGAACATCTTGTCAGATCAACCAGTTTTCCACCACAAGAAGGGAAAAAGAGTATTGAAATACAGACATGAATAATTTCCTCCATGAGATAACAGCAAAGCAGGATTCATCTTATTTCAAAGTGGTTGATGATATTAATAAGAAGTGAATTATCAGTTTAATAGTAATGCATATTGCCTGCTTATAAATGTGATACTTTTTACAAGCTGAAATGTTGAGTCAACTGCTGCTCAAAATCCTGATGCATGTTGAAGTATTAAGTATTCAAACTAGCACATATTAATTTTACTAATTGCAGTTGCAACAAAGGAAAATCCAAGAGCATTAAAATTTATTTTTTTTTTTCCATTCAGAAGAGCAGGAAAGAGGAAGGGTATAGGCCAAATCCCACCAATTATTTAATAACACATAGAATTCAAGATATCCCTCCAGCCTTCTGTCACAAGGTTCCCATCAGATTTGCAGATTTGACTCGCTGGCAGGAGTCTAAGTAAAATTTGCTACCACACAGTGGCTCGTTGGTGCATCCTGAGGAATAAACTTGACAGCCTACATTTCCAGAACACAATGGCTGTTATCACAAAATCACAATACAAGGGACAGAGTTACCAGGGATGGACCATCCTATGCATGGGGACCAAAAGGACTTTAAGCATAGTGGACAGATTTTCAGCCCAGCCAGAGGGCATTGTTACAAGGGGAAGAGGGGCAGCATGAGGAAGAGCTACTGACTCTTGGGTTCCTTGTGTAAACAAGGGCCAAATCCAGCATGACGGTAACTCTATAACATGTGGCCTCCTCGTGCCCCTTTTTGAACAAGCAAGCTGACTTTGACCCTCATGTGGAAACAAAGCCGCACTACAAAAATGCAAAACTGAAGTCAATAGTATGAAAGAAAAGAACCAGCAGATGTTCCTGTGGCATGACTTAAAGGCAGATGAAGAAAACAGATGGCTGTTAAAAATTAAAATGAACTCAAAACTACACCATGTGTAATATGATACAATCTGGGCTATATTTGCTTATGAAAAAATACTAGGAAAAAAAAAAAACAATTCTTTGAGGTATAACACTAGCATCAGAGTGGCATACTGTCCTGGGTTTCAGACCTGTCATAATCCCCAGATTTTATCAATTTTCAGAAAAACTTGGAAGGAGTATTTATCTCCTCTGAGTCATGTGGATGGCTGTGGGTTAGCTTGTGTGTTTGTGTTTGTGCTTACTGGAACGTAGCTTCTAATTCACTGTGATGAATGGCCTGTTTGTACTGCACAGTGATCTGGTTAGGATCATTAACATGACTGTATTTACAGGCTGATTACAAAAATGACAGCTTCTTTTAAAGTATAATATCTCTGACCCATTATTTCATAACCTAATTGGAGAATCTCTTTTCAAACCAGTTTGATTAGTCCAGCAATGAACTTGGCATCTCATTTCTTATTGTAGTCCTTAACTACAATTAATTTTTGAAATCTAACAAAGTCACATTACTTAAAGGATAGCCTAAAATTACCAAAGCTTTTCTTGAGAAATGCCAGAGCACTGAAGAGAAGACATGGGTTTTGTACACATAATCACTGTTATTTCAACATTTGCCCACACAGGAAAGAGACGAGTTCAGTTTCCTGTGACTGAAAATTACACATGGTACATATTCCTTCTTACTAGCTAAAATCATGCAACCCAGCCTGTTGATACGAAGGTAATCAGTCAACTGCTTTCTGTAAGCTTTCTTTAAAAAGGTATAAGCATAATCAGTCCCTTTCTTTCCAGGCTTTTATTTGGAAATGAAAAAAAAAGAGTATCTGAGGCAAAAAACAGAGAAGAACACACACAGCCCCATACCCACACACACCCTGCACAAAACCCCCATCCCCCTTCCCTTCCCTTTCCTTCCCTTTCATTTTGACTTGCATTGATAAGCAACGGCCTAAACTGCACATTGTCTGTCATCTGCACGTTCAGTCAACACTCCGGGAAGGATAATGAGGTTCTCAAAGTAAAAAAAAGACTCATGCTTGTCCCAAACCTGAAGGCTGTACACAGGAAGATCTGTTGAACTGTGGGGAGGAAAAAGATACAATTACTTACCAGGTATTTACTACATGGTAGAAATTTTAATTTGTGAGCGACAGTACCCAGCTGCAGCAGTCCACTCTTCAGACTCTAATAAAGGCTGAGGAGAACAGGGTGAAAGAGCGTGTTTAAAAGGGGAAGTATTAAGTCTACCTTCTCCTTCCGCAGCCTATTATACTCTGTCCATAAAGGTTCACTGTCCTCATGGCTACCGCAAGTGTTGGAAGGCCCCGAGTGCACTAAATTATGTTCTTCCTGAAAAAGATCAGCAACTCAAGGTCAGAGAGTGAACAGGAAAATAAGGGTAGATATATTGACAGAGAGCTAATCCTGCAAGGGGCTGTCAATCTGCTAGGCTTGCATGAAGACTTGCCTAGTGGTTCCCATGATCAAGTTCATAGGAACATGATAATCATGTTCATGCCACCAAAAAACCTAGCACACTTCCTATAGAAGTAGCAAGGATAATCTGGGACTACTGCATGCTTGTGGCTGGAGTCACGTCACTAGCTGGGGCTTCTTTGCAACGCTGTGCACCACCAGCACAACTAGGAGGGTAATGCTGCTGCTCCAGCCTGTTGTCTTCATCCACAATAACCCAGAGTTTGCAAGCAAGAAGTTAATAATTAAATTCACAATTAAATGGTCTGCTGGTTATTTCCCTTCTTTATCCAATAGTATTTTCTGGAACACTACCATGCAAGTACTATACAAGATACTCCTTTGAGTTCTTTCATAGGATGCTGATGATCTGTTGGTTATTGCATACAGCCAAGCAAGAAACACGCTCAACTTTCACAGTAGAAAGCAATTAATGTATATAACGTAACAGAGGAGATGGTCCTTGCTGCAGGGAGTTCATACATTTCTTCTTCCACTTCTGAGGCACTGAAAAGTCTCATCCAAGACCAAGACACCAGAGAAAGCTTCTCTGCTTGGTTAAACCCTCACTCATCCACAGTCACCAAGTGTCAATGATGCTCTGGACAGGTTGCAGTGCTAGCAAACTGAATAGAGAGAGATGCCTACACAGAGACATTGCAGCCTGCAGACTTATTGTAACACATGTCCTACATATCCAAATAGTTCAGAACATAGTCCTGGGTGATTTTGGTGACTTTCATAAAGAACACAATGGTTTGTGGCCTGGCAGTCAGGAGATCTGGATTCAGATGACACCTACCCCGCTACAAGCATGGACGTGTGACAAAGCAGCCCTTGAGATTTGGTAGTACAGTTGCATGAGTGAATACCATTTGTTTTGGCTGTATTCTACAACATCATTCTTGTCTTTTGGAAAGAAAAAGACTGGAAATTACATTTTATCAGTGCTACTGAGTTTTATATGACATAAGTTTAACTCTCCATGTAATCAACAGCAAGAATGTCAAGTGTCACTCCAAACAGTGTGGCAAAGGTTTCCACCCTGATGAGTCCAAAATGATAATGCATCACACAGCTGACATTTCTTTTCTGATAAGTATCAGATAACATTCTTTTCAAAGCACCATTGTCATAGAAACTTGCCAGCATTTTAAAGAATCTCTCAGAGGCCTAACCTTTAGGGACATATTTTCAGCTTCAGTGATAAACAATTGACCTCTTAATTTATGAACCATGACATTGCTCTGTTGTCTGAAAAAAGAAGCTGTGACCTAAAGGGAATTTTAACCTGCATACACTGCCACTAAAGTGATAGAAAGGCAAGCTGTTAATTCTCAGGGAATGAGGGACATCACCCAAGTCCAACCCACTGACAACTGCCTCTTAATATGAGGAAGACTGGATTTACCCTACTGCAAAGCCTCAAACCAACAGAAAAATTGCTGTTATTTACTTCAGATTGCATTTAGAGGTTTAGTTTGGGTTAGCAGGGAGAATCTCTCTGCAAGTACATTTGCCCTTCCATTTACTTCCAACAGGTAATGAACATGGCAGAGACATGCCAGCATGTCAAAATGCTCACCAGATTGAGCATAACATCTGAAGTTAGACATTCTGGATACTGGTTTCAGCTCAAAATCTTTAGTCCAGCTTCCTGGAAATCATTTTGTGTCTCAGTTTTCCTATCAAATGAAAACTCCACTCACCCTAGTCATGTTAAGTAACATGATCCATTGATGTCCAAGTTGTATCAAAGCTATTTGAAGGCATGATTATTTTTAAGGAATCAAGGTGTATGCTTGTAAAACACTGAGATTCTCAGCTGGAACATATTATAGAGAATAACAATGCTATTGATTTCACATATCATGGAAAATGGTTTATTTATATTTACTAAGATTGATAGCAAACTAGCATAGTCTTTTGGCAAAGAATAATGGAGAGAAAGAGAGACAAGGTGTTATTTTTGCCTGTGTTACAGCAAATTAATTAATTATTCTTTGGGTAAATCCAGAATTTCTACAAAATCTGACTTATACCTGC